TTCTTCTTCTTCTTCTTCTTCTTCTTCTTCTTCTTCTTCTTCCTCTTCCTCTTCCTCTTCCTCCTCCTCCTCCTCCTTCTTCTTCTTTTTTTTTTTAAATTTTGAGATATAGTCTTCGTCAGTTGCTAGTTTTCCCAGGCTGAGCTCGAATTTGTATTCTTCCTGCCTGAGACTACTGGGATTATAGGTGTATACACACTGGCCTGTCACATTCCTCCATCTTTAACTCATAACAAGAGCAACACTTTCTCTCCCAGGAGGAATTAGCAGACTCTCTAGAGAGCTTGTTCAGTTTTTAAAAGGACAGCAGTCCCTCAGACTCTTTAGGGATTAGTTCCATGATACCCTTTGAATACCAGAATCCATCAATGCTCAAGTCGCTTATAAAATTGGCATAGTATTTTCATATAAACTACATGCATCCTGAATATAATTTCTAGAAATTGTAATTTCATTTCTAGATTTAAAATTAAATATACTTATACAACAATATAATGTGAATGCTATATAAATGGTGATTATGTTGTACTGTTTAAAGAATACTGACAAGAACAGTGTACACACATTCAATAGTGAAGATGCACTCTTTTTCTAAATATTTCAGTCTGAGGTTGGTTGAATCCCTGGAGATGGAACCCTTGCTTACAGAGGACTTGACTGTATATTCAACATGCAAATAAATTTTTTTCTTCACAAAGTGGTTAAAAAAAGGCTGACATATCTCTCCATATTTCTCAGAAATGCTATAATAAAGAAGACAGAAAACATGGTATGTTGATGAGGCTACAAAGCAACTAAAGCTCCTGTGTGCTGATGAGAGTGCTGGAGGAGAAGCATGGAAGGGACCCTGCTGTCACCTACACTTCTCTTCCCAGAGCCACATTTATCTACTTGCTAAAAAAAGTATTGTGTAGCAGAAGATGCTAACCCCCTCTCCCTAGTGTACTTCAGTTTGTTAGTTGCCCAGGTAATAGTTCCAAGTTCCAGTTTCTGGTTCCTGGTACTTTTTTTTTTTTTTTTTTTTTTGGCGGAACCAGGGATTGAACTCAGATCCTTGTGTTTGCCAGTCAAGCACTTATCCTACTGAGCCATCTCCCCGGCACCCTGGTACTTTTGTCTCTTAGGAATGGCTGGTCATGGGCTGGGAAGATAGCTCAGCAGTCTAAGTGCCTGCCTGGCAAGCACAAGGACCAGAGTTCAATCCCCTGTACTGCATACTGTGCTGGCTCCGGAACCCTGGGAGCTCCATGCTGCCCACAGAAACTGGTGTGGTGGCGCATGCCTGTAATCCCAGCACTGGGGGGGCTGAGACAGAAGGATCACTACAAGTCTGAACTGCATAGCGAGACACTGTGTCAAATAAATAAATAAATAAATAAATAAATAAATAAATAAATATTTTAAAAAAGAAACTGCTGGTTACTGTGATGCATAGCTGGTCACTATGATACACATTGTAAGAACCAATCCCCAATTGACAAGCCACTCTGTCTCTGTACTTCTTGCTTGCTTAGCCCATATAAGCCCTAGGCCCAGAGATCTGGGCCTGATATTTTGCGAATGATCCTGATCAGTACCTCTTGATGTAAACAAATCTGTCTCCAACACATACACTTTCCCCATAAATTGTTCTATACTCGGTGACACTGCTTCCCTGGGCTCCTAGGAAGAGCAAACAAGGCAGACAATAGAAAAGTTAGCAAAGCCATTCCAGACACCATTGAAGAAGGTGAAATCAGAGAGAATAAGACTGAAAATGTATGTGCATGGTTTAAGTTGGGGGGCTGGGACTTCTGAGGTGTTCCTGAATCATAAAAAGGCACTACTCCACAAGCTGTCATGGTCAGGTATAGGCAATGGCTCCTTGGCTGGCACCTCTTGCCCCTTTTAAGCCTCATTCCCAATGCCCTTGAGAGCCCTATGCCCACTGCGTGACCACACTGCTTCTGTCTACTTGGCCACACACTAGCAGTCTACTTCTTCTGCTCTCACTAGAGCTCCACACCTATCCCTGGCTTGGTCTCCCATCTCCTCTTGGCTTCTTCAGGCTTTTTCTTACTTCTGGCATTATGGCTGACTAACCCATGTTGGGTACCTTTATACACTGATGAGTCCCATCACCAAGTGCTTTGTCTAAAACCCAGGCCTAGGGCTGAGCATACAGCTTAGTGACATATGTGCCTACCTGGCAAGTTTAAGGTCCTGAGTTTGATCTCTAGTGCCACACACACACATACACAAAAGCACAAATCTTTTGGGCCAGCAAGACAGCTCAGTGGACTAAGCACCTGCTTAGGCAAGCATACAGACTGCAGTTCGATCCCCAGCACCACATGCTGCACTGGCCCCACTCCCAGGTGCACTGAACTGGCCACTGAGACCCAGAGTGATAGTGCATCACTCTGTAATCCCAGCACTGGGGAGGCTGAAAACAGGAGGATCGCTATGAGTCCAAGCTGTGCAATGAGACCCTATATCAAATACATAAATAAATTTATAAATAAATAAATAAAACGTAGGCCTATGTACAGCCCAGCTCAGAAACCTTCAGTGACTCCCCACTGCCTACGGGACTAAGCCCAAGCCCCTCGGCACACTTGGCTTATAACCCCTGCCCATTCTCTGGCCTTACCTCCTGGCCCCTCTAAGCTTAGTTCCAAACTTTCTTCATTACACACTGTTGCCCATAGGATAGTTTTTAAAACATGTCTACAAATTCTTTCATTCTCATTTCTTCAAGAGATACAGTTTAATTTCCACTCTTGAAGTCAGACCTAATGACTCCCTTTAAATAGAATGGAACAAAAAGATAGCATATGACTTGAGACCTAGACTTGACATCTCCATGGCCTCTTGCCAATAATCAGCCAAAAACTGAGGCTTTCCACCAACAACCACATGGGGTATGATCTTGGAAGCTCTAGGCAAACCTTCAAGTAACACAGTCTTCTGAGAGACCCCAAGTCTAAATTGCCTAGCTTGCTGCTCCTTAGTCCTGGCCCACAAAAATTATGAGACAATAAACATCTGTTGTTTCAGGCTGCCAGGTTCAATGGTAATTTTTTACAGAGCCATTAATAATGAAGACATCCCAAACAAATGAACTACTTTCTTTGATGATTCTGGGCTTTCCATATGTTCTTCTCTTTGCCTCCATTGCCTCTCATCTGCTGATCTTTCTACCAAGCTCCTCCTCATTCTTTAGACTCAGAGAAATATCACTTCCTCAATGAAACATCACTTAACAGCATCCCTACCTCTTCACCCTCCCCAGAATTAACCCTTGTCCTGCAACTTCACCAACCCTGCACATTGTGCCCATGTGGCCTTTCTTATTCCACAATGTCTCAGAAGCTCTTGTGGCAGCAGAAGGTCAGACACTCAGAAGGTTTCTTGACGTTTCAGTCAACTGGCTGGAGAGCCACTGCATAAGGTTTCACTCTAGTGGGAGGTGTATAATGAAAATAAGTGTTTTGCAACAAATATTTAAACCCAGAAACCTCCATATTTTCCTCCAAATGGTAGGACAGCACAAGGACTCATCAGAGGCCCCATCTTACTCTATTCCAAACAGTTGGGTGAAAGAAGCCTACCTGGATCAGAGCAAGTACTTTATCCTGCACAATTGTGGGAGGGTTGTTCTTGGGAGAGATGATTTTGACCAGGACGCTGTCAATAAAGTCTCGGTTGGCCACAAGGATATGGAAGCGGTGGCCACAGTTCTTCACACATGTTTCCAGTACCTGATGGGGAGAGAGGGGCAAGAAGACACCACTGTGGGAGGTAGAGGAGACACTGGCCCCTGAGGAAGCTGAGATTCCCCCCTCACCCCATCCTGCTCTTGTTCTTAGATCATTGTCTGGCATACCTCCTCCACAACCAAACCTCCATTGCACATACATTCCCATACTCTTAATTCAGCCTTTCCTCCAGGAGGACAGCAGCCCCTTGCTGACTGAAGGCTCCAGTCCCTACACAATAATCAGGCAATTAGTTGGTAATTGAGGCACCAGTTTTGCATGAGAAAGATGCTGGTGTTTTAATGGGATCAAAATGACTGAGCAGTCCCTGAAAATTAGCATATTAACTCCTCTCTCTGGGCCTCTGGGTATGAGGCATTAGCCAATGGGACACAGGCTCTGTCACAGGAGGAGGCTGCTGTGACAGCCTGAATTGCCTAGTGAGTTACTGGTCCTTGTGCATGAGGAAGCACACACACACACACACACACACACACACCCTTGCTTCTACATATAAAATTGGCAGTGATAATGGATCTTCCACCCTTGACAAATGGTTTGTGGGCCTCAGCTTCTACTTGGCTTTAAGGTTTTTTAAAAAACGTATTTGGTTGTTACAAGGTCTCACTACACAGCTCAGACTCATAGTGATCCTTCTGTTTTTCAAACTCCCCAGCAGCGGCCTATGCCACTGCTCCCAGACTCTGGATGGCTCAGCCCAGGCTAGTGTTGGCATGTGGTGCGAGGGATTGAACTGCAGTCCCTGCGCTTGTCTAAGCTTGCCTAAGCAGGTGCTTTAGCCGCTGAGCTATCTCGCTGGCCTCGGCTTTAAGGTTTATGTTTGGATCAGATGCTGCCCTCCTCTTCCTTGTCAGGGAAGTACACAGGCCTTAGCTGCTCAGAAAAGCTGACATATGGGTTCTGATCAGATAGCAAGTATGGGCTTGAAATTACCTCCCTGAATGGACTAGTACAAGTCCCTCTGGATCACCTCTTCTGGAGGATAGAGACAATAAGTCTTCCCTTACTGTACTGTTGGAAAGATCAGAGGAACATATATAAAGACCCTAGCAGTGCCCACACAGAACAGGGGTCCAATAAATGACAAGTATGATTATAATTCAGAAGCTTGTTGTATGCATCTGAGTAAAGGAACAGCTTCTTACTCTCCCACAGGACAGGTGCGAGATCCCACAGAATTCAGGGGTCCAAGTGAGAAGGTCTCTCCAGTCTTGAACAGAGTTCTCTGACCCTTTTAACTTTCTAGAACTTACCTCATCTGACCCTTCCCAAAAACCGCTCCCATCACTGCCAAAGCTGACTAGCTAAGGAATGTCTCCTTGGAGGACGTCTCTAGCAACAGAGAACAGTTCTGCCTGCCTTGGTTATTCTGATTTGCCCAAAGTCATCTGAGCACAGGTCAGCTTATACAGCCACTTCCTAGGGGTGCTTTAGACCATGGCGTTTTACCTTGATAAAGCATGGCCATAAAGAAAGATCCAGAATTGTTACACTGACTAAATGCTGGCTACATACCAGGCACTAGGAGAGATCATTCCACATCATATATAAGTTTATTTCATTCCCGCAATGGAATAGTTCTCTTTAAATAGATCTTATTACCCATTTTTAAAGTTAGGAGGCTTAGAAAGGGGAAGAGACTGAAGATGTCAGAGGTCCCCTGTGGGCTGGCAAGGGCTACTTTAAACCACCCTGCCTTTTTAAAAATGTTCCTAACAAATCTGGCATGAAACACACAGTGGCAATTTTCTGAGATGCAGTCAAAGCCCATGGAGAAGGGGGGCCTCTAAGCAATCAGAAGCAGATGTTTCAACCACAGAAATGAAAGTTCAAGTAGATAATCTTTCAGAGTTTCTAACTTCTGCTTTGAATGAATATTAACTAGGGAAGGGCCACAAGAAGCAGGAGGACTGACAGCAACAAATAGGATAAGTGAAACCATCGAAGACCAGACATAAGACCATACAAAATATGCCAGGTGGGCCCTTGGGTACAGGGACAATGGCTCTGTGTTCCAAAGGCATCACTGGATTTGGAACGGAAACCAGGAGTCAGATGATGTGCACCATTCCCTTCTGTAGTGAGGCCAGTAAATGCAGATTTTTATTCAAGACAGTTACCATGAAGCCAGGCATACACAGAGAGAAGTGCTAGACAGCAGGACAATGTCCTGACATGTTACAGCTCATTTCCCAGTGATGTGAGTTACTGGGAACCACATATTTTGAGCATTACTCTGGGTTTAGTGAACATTGTGGCTAAAATTCTGAGGAAAAAATAAAAGCTTTCAACTCTCTATTTTTCAAGTTGCTTTTTCTCCTTTAATAGTCAAATCCCATTTCCCTGGCAAATAGAACTCTCCTAATAAGTTTTGAGTTTTTACTTGGCTAAAAATTACAAATAGTTTCTCTGCTCTAAAGGAAAGCATGTTATGACTGTTTCGGATAAATAACCCACTATTTGAAACCCACTGAGAAGCCGACATGCTGACCTGTTATAGTTTCTATTATAAGAACTCACTGTGGCCCAGATTTTGCCACATCTGAAAATCTGTTAGCTTTCAAGACAGAAATAGCACCTGAAGTCTCCCTTTTAATTTTCTGACATCTTAAGAAGGGCAAAATCTGGTCTGTTTGTCCTGAGTCACTTGGCTAACTTTTTCAAGAGACTTTGCAGCTATTTTCAGCTTTTACCCAAACAAAAGATCACTTTATGATGGCAACCCTTCCTAGCTCTGACGCCATCTCTCTGAGCCTCATTCTCTTTATCCCCTTGAAGGGATAATGAAACATCAACATCTGAAAATCTTACCCCAGCAAGAACTAAATAGGTGTGAGTAAACATTTTCATAAGAAAAGAACTGACACCAAGAGGCTCAGAGCAGGCTGGTTGGTAGAAAGTGTCCCACCCCAGCTGCTGGCTCCTCTACTCTGGGCTTCTCCATGGGGCTGTGCCACCCACGAACTAATATGTACACATTTATCAAACTGAAGTTTAGCTCTGCTTCAGAGGAGAGCAGGAAAACCTGAGGCTGAGTGTGACCAGAAGGTTCTGCGCAACTCCAGCAGCAATGGCACAGAGCCATTTGCAGGCTGTACCGTGTGGGCAGAGGGAAGGCCCTGAGCATGGGGCTAGGCCATAAGGATGGGGATCCCCTGTCTCCCACCACCGGAGAGCAGCACTCACCGTCAGTGCCAGCATCACTTCCCTGTAGTTCCGGTTTCCACTGAGTCGCTTCTTCAGGGCTCGAATGGCATCCTTTGGCCTGAAGAAACAGATAGAAATATTAGAATCCTCATAAGTCCCACTTTGGAGCCCTAATCTATTCCCATTTGTGCCAGTTAAAAGCATTTACACAAGGGTATTCACTGCAGCATGTTTATGAATATAAGGTAGGAAAAGAAACTGAATGGCCACCAAAAGGAAACAGGCTCAGCTTTTGAGACCAAATGCCATGCCTTCAATTAAGTTGCAGAGTTCTGGTGGAGAGATACTTGAAGTTGATGCTGAAATTGCCAAACAATCTGTGACAATCAAGACCACGTTGGAAGATTTGGAAATGGATGATGGAGGAGATGATGACCCAGTTCCTCTACCAAATGTTAATGCAGCAATATTAAAAAAGGTCATTCAGTGGTGTACCCACTACAAAGATGACCCTCCTCCTCCTGAGGATGATGAGAACAAAGAAAACGAACAGATGACATCCCTGTTTGGGACCAAGAATTCTTGAAAGTTGACCAAGGAACCCTTTTTGAACTTAATTCTGGCAGCACACTACTAGACATCAAAGGTTTACTTGATGTTACATGCAAGACTGTTGCCAACATGATCAAGGGGGAAAACTCCTGAGGAGATTCGCAAGACTTTTAATATCAAAAATGACTTTACTAAAGAGGAGGAAGCCCAGGTACGCAAGGAGAACCAGTGGTGGGAAGAGAAGTGAAATGTTGTGCCTGACACTGTAACACTGTAAGGATTGTTCCAAATACTAGTTGCACGGCTGTTTATAATTATTAATACTAGACAAATAACAGACAAATGCAGTAGCAAAACAATTATATTAGCATAATACTGTCCTCATTGCATGTTTGAGTTACAGATTCCAAACCAATGGCTGAATTTCTTCTAGTCTGAACAAAAGTTGCTGATTTTCTTTACTCTGAATAAAACTGAACTGTAGGTTCTCTGTAGGAATTTGACATTTTCAGCTTTCCCTTTTTTTGTAAAGAGATTTCTGTGTAGGTTATTGTCCAGCTAACTTTAGTGAGCTTTTCAAAGTTGGCATTGTAAATAAAACAACTTGCCAAAAGTTTTCTGCAATAGAACTAACAAAATGTTATCTTTATTCAGAAGTTGGAAACTGAAAAAAGGCAACTTGAAGTAACTGTTCCAAGTAGGGCTGTTTAGAATGTCTTCCAGCCTCCTAGAGTCAAGCAGTATCACTGGTATAGATTAACTTGTTATATAGCAGGACTTCCTTAGTCAGACCTGAGGACTTGTTTGATTTGTTTTTAAATCTTTAATTTTCTTGGCTTTGAATATGTTGCCTAGAAATTCAGTAATTACCAAGTTCGTGGTTTGGGGAAGAAATATAACTAGACAGTTTGTTAGTTTTTCAATTAAAGACAATACTTAATTCATGAAAGAAAAAAAAAAAAGGAAACAGATTCAGTTATATCATGGCTCATCTACCCAATGGAATATTATGCAGTTACAGAAAAGGATTATGCATTGTCATCGTCCAAAAATCAGAGACTCATCCATAAAATCATTGTAGAAGAGTGCATAAGTGTTGTTGCTATTAGCATGTCAAAAGGACAGCAAACACTTTCCACAGCACGTGCCTATGGCAGTAAGAGAATCTCCAGAGCACACCTCCCCAAGGGAGCAACATAAGAACCTGGTAACAAAAGCTGCCCCTCAGGAAGGACACCAGATGGCAGAGGGGGAGAGAGGATTTTCAGTGGATTGTCTCTTTGCAGTCCTTTTGAATTGTGTATCACATGCCAGTGTTACTTGCTCAAAATAGTAACTAAAACACTACTGCAGTGCTGGCACATGTGTGGCATGTGTATTGTTTTTCTTTTAAGACAAAAAGATGTTAACAAAGAGCTGGTTTTTTTAAAACTAAAACCTCAATATTCAGGTTTAATTGCAATGTTGGTACTTCGTGATAAATATGTGTTTTGTCATCATCTCACTAGTCTATGGGAGCACTGAAGAGAGTTCTTCTAGGCTTGTTTTGTTTTGTATTGTTTTTGTACAGGGAATGAAACTCAGAACCTTGTGCTTGCCACGTAGGCACTGTGCTACTGAGCCATGTCCCCAGCCATACACTAAATTTTTACTTTTCTTTCTTTCTTTCTTTCTTTCTTTCTTTCTTTCTTTCTTTTTTTTTTTTTTTTTTTTTTTTTTTTTTTGAGACAGGGTTTCACTATGCAGTTCAGGCTGGCCTTGAATTCATTTTGTAGCCCTGGCTGGCCTTGAACTTGCAGCAATCCTCCTGCCTCAGTCTCCCAAGTGCTGGGATTACAGCATGTGCTGCCACACCCGGCTTAGACTAAAGTTTTAAATGTGACAGTTCTGCTAGAGCAAACACAACAAAGATGTGGAAAACAGAATTACAGGTATGTGCTGAGGCCTAGATATTCTGCTCTTGCTGGATACCATAAAATTTCTTGGAATTCCAGAGAAATCCTTAGTGAGTCTCCTCGAAACCCAAGGGACTGAGTACTGGTGGGTAATATAGCTGATGCAGATTCTCATAGGAAATCCTGAAGAATTATAGCAGTCCTCAGTCTATAAACAGGCCCTATTCAAGAATTTGCTCCTAAGCTGAAGACCTGGACTTGGAATGAGTTCTTCCTAAAATTACTGTTATACCTAAGACTTAGGATTCTGAGTCAGCCCTCTAAGCATACCTATTATATGGTCCTTTAACAGGTTTTAAAATTTGTCCTATTAAGGATTCGATAAAGCAGTGAGCTAAGACCTGCCCTGGTCATGATGCCCTGTCCCCTGATGCCCCATCTCACTGTGTTCTATACCCAGAACTACTGCCTGGCTGCAGGAGGCCACTCCTGTGCCTACAAGTGGACTCCAGGTTTCCGTTATGGATGTGTCACTGTATCAGTCTTTCCTAGGTTGAATGAAATCTGGGACTTCCTATTCCTGAAGTTCTAAATGTCGTTACTCTATCAAATGAAAAAGTCCTTTCAGATGTGAGGAAGTAGGGGGAGGGAAAGGTTGAAGCCCTGCTAATCAGTCTAAGTTAGAAAGACACAGTAAATTGGAAGGTAAGCAAAACTTCTGGAAGAAATTTTTTAAATACCTCAAACTCCCTATTTACCATTCCCAACTTGAAATATAACTACCCTATGGGAATTCTTGGCTCCTGTGTCAAAGAACTGTCAAAACAGGGATGTGTCTTGGCTAAGCTGTTTGCAGAATGGCTGCAGCTTCCAAACAGGGATGCTGATTTCTGCAAATTTGGGACCCAAGTGGCTCTCTGCTTTGATGGGCTGAGTTGGTGAAAGTCAGCAGCTACTTGCCAAGAACATGAACTGATTTCTTCTCCCCAGGGATCTGCCAGCATGCAGTCATCCCAGACCTGCAGCTGCCAGCCCTCTCAGCACAGCCTCTTTCCTCTCGTCCTGAAAGGAAGGCGAAGAAAATGGACAGAAGAAAATAAATACAGTCTCCAAGGTCATGGGCACTTGTACTAGCAGGGCCCAGTGCTCCCAGTTCATTGGGGTGTGGGGCAACCAGACAGACCACAAGTTCTCAGTTACATTTAAACTGAAAACTCATCCCCATGCTGTAGGAACACAAGAGCATGTATTTATCTCTGTCCCCAGGGGAGAAGATTCAGAGAGGAGCACAGAGTGAGGTCAGAGGAACTGCAAAGTTTCAAGGAGCTGCCACAGATTAGGTAGCTGGTACTCAGACAGGGCAGAGGTACTGAGTGAGGGCCTAGATAGAGCAGGCAGAATCAGAAGGATATGGTGGCATGTGTGAGGCTCCAAACTCTGGAAGCTCTCAGTGGGAAGTCCCCGGTCCCAAGGGACAGTCCCCAGAGCTTCATGCTTTTGCCTCTACAGTGTCTTCCCCCCTCCTCCCAAGTCACACTCCAGAGAGTCCCTCCTTCCAGCCATAGCAAGTTCTCCACTGGTCCCTGTAGCCTTGAAACCTCTTTGTTCTTCAGCTGCTTTTCTGAGCAGCTTTTTCATCCCCACCCATCTCATACAGACACAGCTGCCCCTCCTCCACAAATCTCACTCACTGCCTTAGCAATGATCTTGCTGTACTGCGCTTACTAGTTCTCCCTCCAGCTCAAAGGCTGCAGCACACACAAAGATTCAATGAGCTGAGAAACATCAGGGATGGTCATGAAAATGGTCCAGGTCAGCACACCCTCATCAGAGATGCAGACCAGAATCACTTGGGGAATAATTCTCAAATCCACACGTGTGTATCCTAATTAGGTAGGCCTGGCATGAGCCCTGGTCAGCGGGATCTCTGTCGCGGCATGGCAGGTTATTCAGCCAGACACTCATGGTTACCTAGTGTGGAAATGTCACACAAGGCTGTGGTGTCAGCACTCCTCATGCAGGGAGTGACCCCAGACCTGGACACTGTGGAATGTCCACAGAGAGGACTGTGAGTGGCTCACCAATCTGTGCACACAGCCTCGCACAGGAAGAGCTCTGTATAAATATAAGAAGGACAGGCAGAGCTTCAGTGGCTGGAGCCAGGTGAGCCTGGATTTGAACCCTGCATGTTCTCCTACTGTGCTATGACGTCTTTAGCAAATAACTACATCACATTGGGCCCCAGTTTCCTTACCACTAAAATAGGCTTCCTTACCTTATATGGGTGTGTGTGTGTGTGTGTGTGTGTGTGAGAGAGAGAGAGAGAGAGAGAGAGAGAGAGAGAGAGAGAGAGAGAGCGCCAATCTAGGGCTGGGCATAGGGTCTGGCACAGGGCAAGTATTCAGAGAATGGCAGACAGGGTCAGGACAGTGAAGCCACAGAGATTACTCCCTAGGACTGGCCTGGTAACTAACACCACAGATGAAAGTGATGTGGACAGTGGAAATCATTAACACATTCCTGTTGGCTTGAACCACTGATGGTATATACATGACTGTTCATCATGGGGTGGCTTGTACCACTGGTATTCAGGGTTATATGGCTGTGAGACATACAAATTACAGCCCTGTCATGAACATGTTAAAGGATAATTAGCAAATCCATATATGTAACATAGCTTGGGTGAAGAATGCTTCCCAAAGGCCCATGTATTAAGGCTTGGTCCCCAGCCTGTGGTAACTGGGAGGTTGAAAACCTTTAGAAGCTGGAGTCTAGCGAAAGGCAGTTGGGTCACTGGGGGTGTGCTTTTGAAGGAGATATAGGGACCCCAGCCCCTTCTTGTCTTTCTTTGCTACCCAGCCTCCATGAGCTGAAGAGCTTCCTCTGCCATGATGTGCTGCCTCACTACAAGCCCCAAACCAATGAGTCAATGGACCATACACCAAAAGCTCCAAAACTGTGAATCAAAGTAAGCCTTTTCTTTTTTTTTTTTGGCGGAACCGGGGATTGAACTCAGATCCTTGCGTTTGCCAGTCAAGCGCTTATCCTACTGAGCCATCTCCCCGGCCCCAAGCCTTTTCTTTTTTTAAACTGATTATCTCAGGTATTTGTTACAGCAACAGAAAAGTAATACACATGGGTGTGGGATATATTTATGTGCCACTTTACATACATATTTTCTCTTTTAACCTTACAATAACCTCATGAGAGAGCTACTATTGAGAGCACCATTTTCTAAATAAGGAAAGTAGCCAGGCATGGTGGCACATGCCTATAATCAGAGGATTGCCATAAGTTTGAGGGTAGCCTGGGCTACCAAGTGAGACTCTGTCTTGAAAAGAAAGAAAGAAGCTGGGTGTAATGGTACACATCTGTAATCCCAGCCCTCAGGAGGCTGAGGCAGAAAGATTATCACAAATTCAGGTCAGCTTGGGCTACACAGTGAGTTCAAAGCTAACCTGGGTTACATAGCAAGACAAAAACAAAAACAAACAAACAAACAAAAAAACAACCACACACACACAAAAAAAGAAAAGAAAGAAAAAAGAAAGAAAAGAAAGAAGAGAAACCGAGACACAGGAAGATGGCATAACACACACACAGACATAGGACAACGAGCATGAGCTAGGCTTCCAACCTGGGCAAATGACTCAGGGTCTGCACACCAAATTGTGCATACTTCCTATGCGTGTGTTACATACACTGCTGTCCAGCTCAGGATCTACCCTTCCCTTTTATTCATCTACTTCCCTAGCTGATGCCCTGGTGTCCTAGGTCTTAGATAGTTCCACTGAGTGTCACCTCCTTTAACAAGGCCTTGCTGCTGCTACACTGAGTTAGCCTGTCTCTGTAGCTATATATAGCCCCTCTCTCCCTCTCTCTCCCTCCCTCTCTCTTTCAGCCTTTGTCATGCTGTGTTATGATTATGTTTACATGCCTGCATTCCTCATCAGACTGTGAGGGCCTTGGGACTTCATTTATTTACTTACCAAATATTTATCAAGAACCAATTATGTATACTCTATACTTGGTGCTGGGGACAAAATGGTGAACAAAACAGATGAAATGCCTGCCTTCATGGAGCTCACAGACTAGAGAGTTGCAGGATAATACTAACAGACATCACACAGATGAGCCTCAATGTGACACTCTGTATTGTGAAATCATGTAACACAGGTCCTATGCAAATTGAGAGGGAAGAAATCAGGAAAATCAGATTTTAATCAAGATCTAGCGAATGATGGGAACCATCTGGAGAAAGAGATTGGCCAGAATCCCCCCAGCCAAGGGCTGAGAAGGACTGGACAGGATACCCTACTGGGAGGTCAAACTTGTGAGGTTTCCTCCCATTTGGGAAGAAATTTAGACATTTACCTCACAGACGTAACACACACATAAGTTCCTCAAGAGTCACAGTGGTGCTGTCACTTAAAACACATGAATAGCAGGAGAAGGTGGTGTCCAGGTCTTCTTCAAGGTACTGACTGAGAAAGGAAGGGGCTTAACCCCTTTGGAAGGAGAAGATCCCAGGGTTTCTGGACCTCCTGCCCTTGAGTCACAGAGATATTTGAGCAATGCCCTGTGTGTCCCACAATTTGTGGGTCTTCTTCATGCCATGCTGAGACACACTTCTCTTCCTGCCAGCCTCAAAAGTAGACCCTCAAGGAAGCAGCTGTACCTGCCTTGTTCTCTGCACCCACAGCATTAAGTACAGGCCTTAGAGACAGGCCTGGCCAGTGTTTCCAGGTCAGCCTCTATGGGGGACTGGCACACTAACCTTAGAATCCTGAGAGGCTACCTCTCCCCTGCAGAGGGTATTAGGAATTGAACTTGTGGCCTTGCACTTGCCAGGCAGGCACTGTGGCACTCAGCTATATCCCTGGCCCCCAGCTTACATGTTTTAATTATCTATCTAGCTCACAGTCTGCCTCCTCACTCTGGACCGGCATCTCTCAAAAGAAATGCCACTGGATATATAAATAAACAAACAAATGAGTGGCATCTGAGATGGATGTAAGGAAGAAAGGAAACCGGAAGGCATGAAGGGAAGTGGCCAGGCTGAGCCCAGCATTTATGGTACGGAAATGGGCCAGTGAAAGCTACCTCCAACTCCAGAGCCACCTGTACTGTCACTAGGTGGGGCAACTCTCTGGGGGCTGAGTTGGAAGCTCAGATAACGTCCTGCTCCCTGTTCTCAGCCTGCTCTACCCCAGGAGGCAGCAGCTCCATCCACAGCTCTGCAGGCCCCGAACCTTGGAGTTGTTCTGACTCTGCTTGTATCCCACATTAGCAAATTCCATGGTTTCCACCTTCTGAACCCAGTCAGTACATAATGACCTCTCTCTCCCTGCTTCTCCACGTCTTGGGCAAGCCCACCATCTCAGGCCAGGATTAACAACTCACTAGTTTAGCTGCTCTTTGGCCAGGTATCAGCCAGGCCATTCTGAACACAGTGATTGTTTCATGTCAGAGTGTGCTACTGCCTTGTTCTGGTCTTCTGCACCTTCTCCTCTAACCAGAAGATGAAGCTACAGTTATTGGTGCCTATGTGGCTGTTATGGTTTGTGTCTACATGTCCCCTGAACACCTCATTCAGTCAGAATATTTTTTTAGAGAAGGCTGAATCTAGAGTGTGTGACTGATTCATATTGTAGTGTTGAGATTAAGGGTGCTGGGATGAAGGGTGGGTGACTGCTGGATCAGTCCAGTTGAATTGGCCCCACTCTAATCCTAGTAGACTAGATACAATATAATGGACAGAAAGAGACTTGTCTTGCTCTTTCATTGTTTTGGCTTCATCTGCCACCATGAATTGCTGCCCCTCTGCCATTTGCCACCCTGCCTTTGAGCCAGCTGATTACATACTGAAACCTCTATAAACTGTGAACTTATTTAAATAAACCTTTCCCTCGACAGAAAAGTAACCATGACAGTGACCCTGCATTTCCATACCCCCACATCTCTGACCTCATCTCCAGGTACTCACCCCTGGTCACTCCACTGTTGGCTCACTGGCATCAAACACATCAACATCCTCTGTCCCAGAACTTCCCAGCTTGATGCTTCATACACATGGATAGTTCTTTTGAATAATCCTCATGTCACTTTGCCTTTAAGTCTTTGTTCAATGTCACCTTCTCCGGAGACTTTCCCTTACTATTCTGTTTAAAATTGCTAATTCCCAACCTCTGTCTCGCCACTCCCTCCATATATCCAGCTATCCAGCTATCTTCCAGGTAGCTGTCCCTATCTAACCAGCTTTTTTTTTTTTTTTTTTTTTTTTTTTTTTGCGGGGGGAGGGTATGGGGGAAGGTATTAGGAATTGAACTTGTGGCCTTGCACTGTGGCACTCAGCTATATTCCCAGCTCCCAGCTTATAAGTTTTAATTATCTAGCTCACAGTCTGCCTCCTCACTCCGGACTGGCATCTCTCAAAAGAAAGGGCATCTGCCTTGCTCCATACACACAACAGGGCCTGTAATAAGACTGCCCCTTCGTATCAGCAAGGACAATCCCAGTGTCTAGGCCTCAGATGTTTTTTTCACTACTCTGGGGTTGAAGAATAAACACAGTGTTTATGGTACAAAAGGTGTGCTAAATACAGACCAATTTGAGAGAAGTATGAATACAATAATGCTATGATATAGAAAAGGACATAGTAAGTAATGACCATAATAACAAATCAGTGGGGCAGAAGCAGGGGGCCATGAGCTAAAAAATGAACAAGTAAGTCGGGTGTGGTGATGCATGCCTATAATCCCAGCAATCATGAGATTGATGCAGGAAGATTGTTGCAAGTTTGAGCTAAGCCTGGGCTACAAAGTGAGTTCAAGAACAGCCTGAACTGCATAGTGAGACCCTGTTTCAAGAAGACACACGCAAAAAGAACAAACGAACGCAGCTGCTCCAGGATATGTGTCCCTTCCTTACTGGCTGACTTGTGTGATCTGGCCTTCCCTCCAAGTACCCTACTCCTGGGGCTCTGCGCCAACAAACCAGGGGAAATGTCTGTTAGGGGGAGGCAGGAGCCAGAGAGAAGAGATAGGAAGAGGTGATCATTTGGAGGTAGAAATGAATGCCCACTGAGCTCAGGTAACCAATCAGCCTTTTCCTGTGATTCAAGGCAGGTGGTTAAAAGGACTTGTCACTGCTTCAACTCAAGATCACTACTGGGGGGAAGGGAGAAGAGAAGGACAGGAGAGGACAAGTCATTAAGAGTGCCAGTTTATTAAATGTCAGAGTGAAAAAACTGAAAATACAAAAGTCAAACCTGCCACCTGAGTCCTGATAGATTTTTTAGTGGACCCCAAGAGCCAAGAGAGCTCCCCAGGAGCATGGTAGTAGGGAACATACCCTTCCTCTGTTTCATTGATGATGTCGCAGATCTCCATGTTCAATGTCCAGTCTTCACTCTGCAAGGAGCCATCTGTTGCCTTTTCTGTGAAATCAGAGAAAAAAACTGGTTTGCATTTCTCCTAGAGCAACTAGCCCTGGCAAGAAATGGGAAATGACCAGGACTTCTACATTCTCTGCCCAAACAAATGGGCTGAGCCAATAGAGCTGATCTGGCGATGGTGTCTTCACAAGAGAATAGCTAAGGAAGAACTGTGTGCCAATATTGTATTATGGGCTGTCATTCTCCAATGCCAGTCTGAAAAGCTTGCCACAGGCTTGAGCTATCACAGTAATGCAACATGTGAGAATGCTAAGTTTATGAACCCCAGACTATGGACTAAACCACTGAGGTCTAAATCAGGCTCAACCAATTGCTAGTTGTGTGGCCTTGAGCAAATTACTTAACCTTTAGGTGCCAATCTGAGTGAAAACTACAGTAGCTACCTCATAGCATTGAAAGGAATATTGAATAGATTATAGCCTAACATCCAGGTAGTCCTCTGAAGGAATTTCCTGCTATAATTATTAAAACTCAACTTTAGCCAGGAGTGGCAGTGCATACATGTAATCCCAGCTGCTCAGGAGGCAGAGGCAGAAGGACTGCAAATTTGCAAGTTGGCCAACCTGGACAACTTAATGAGACCCTATCATAGTTTGGGGGGTTTGTAAGGGGAACAATATAATACAGGACACATTTTATAAATTACTTTATAATGAATCACCCAAAGAATCATATACAAAGAGTGTAGGAAATCTGTCCATATACTAAAGATTAAAGAATACAGCTGGGAGCCTGGATCCTAATATCCTGCATGAGTCCAGATGAAAACCCAGAGCTCATAACAATGTCTCTCACAAGTCCAAATGGAGGCTTAGGGCCCACAACAATGTCTCATACAGGCCCACTTCATGGATCTGTGCTGGGAAGGCCCGAAGGTCAGTGGTAAAAACTAGAAAGTCTATGCCAGCAGGATAAAGGATCTGTGCTAGCAGGCTGAGGGATCTGAACTGGAGCCAGGAAGCAATGCTCAAGGTAAGAACCAGAGCTTCCCCAAAAGGTGCCATCCTCAGCAACAGTGAGATCCTGAGCTCCTCTAATGATAAGGAAAGCGAGTTCCTATCAGGAAAGCCAATGTGACAAGTTTCTCTAGGAGACTGAGTAGTGCACCATCGTCCCCTCCAGAGCCAGGAAGTGATGCTCAAAGCGAGGATCAGAGCTTCCTCAAAGTGAACTGTATCCATTCTCAGTGACAATGAGATCCCAAGCTCTGCCTCCAGTGAAAACAGCTAAGTTCATCAGGAAAGCCAGCATGAAAGCTTCCAACAACTCCCCAACACCTGTCTAACAGCCTCTCTACAGTTTCTCTAGTTCTGCCTCTTATGCTGTTGGCAACAATCTTCAGCCTCCATACCCAGCACCATATTAGTTCAGTTCAGCTAGGTATAACAAGTTGACTGCCAGTTGGCAATGTACTACAGACCCTGTCTCAAAATAAATAGCCCTACCTCCGGGGCATGCTGAGACAGCGATTGAGACTGGGCATGGTGGTGTGCACCTGTAATCCCAGCACTTGGGAGGCTGAAAATAGGAGAATCACCACAAGTCCGATCTACATAGTGAAACCCTGCAGACCCTGTCCTAAATTCACAATAAATAAATAAATAAATAAACTTAAAAAAAAAAACCAACCTGGTGTGGTGTTGCACACCTGTAATCTCAGCACTGTAGAGGCTGAGGCAGGAGGACTACTGTGAATTCAAGGCCAGCCTGGGCTACATAGTGAGTTCAAGGCCAGCCTGAACTACATAGTGAAACCTTGTCTCAAGAAAAAAAAAAATTAAGGGGCTAAGAATATAGCTCAGTAGAGTACCCCTTGGTTCAATCCCCCATTCCACATACATACACACAGAAAAAAATCAACTGTAGTAGCTAACAACATCATAGAAAAAGAGGCAGGAGAGAATTCTATTTCTGAACAAATAAATACTCTGATGGGAGGAGCATATTTTAGTAAACCACCCTAGCACAGTGTTCTGGTTTGGATCTTAAGTATCCACCAAAGATGCATAGGCCAAACTCTTAGTTCCCAGCCTGTGGTGTCCCTGGGAGGTGGTGAAACCTTTGGATGTAGAGCATCATGAAAGGAAGTGAGGTTATCAGGAGTGTGGCCTTGAAAAGGATACTAGGACCCTGACCTCTCTTCTTTCTCTTTGCTTTCTGGCTGCAATGAGGTAGGCATCTTTGACGATGAGACTAAAGCCTCTGCAACCATGAGTCAAAATAAACCTTTCCTCCTTATGAGTTGTTTCTCTCAGGTATTTGTCACGATGGTAAAAAGCTGACTAACACGCATGGTGTATGCTTTATGTATGTTGTTTTATTTCATTTACAAAACAATCTCCTGACCATTCAATGGGGGAAAGGACAATCCTTTAACAAACTGTGCTGAAAAAATTAGCTCACTACATGCAACAGAATGAAGTTGACCCTCATCTTACATCATATACAAAAACTAACTCCAAAAGACACAAACTCAAGAGCAAAAACTACAAAACTCTTAGAAAAAAAAACTTAGGCAGAAAATTTCATAGCATTGGACTTGGCAATGATTTCATGGATGTAACATCAAAGGCCCAGACCACAAAAAATAGAGACTGAACTACATCTACATTAAAAACTTCTGTACACTAAAGGACTCAAATAGCGAAGTGAAAATAAAACCTACAAAATGGAGAAAATTGGGCTGGGGAGTTAGCTCGGTGGGCTAAGCACCTGCCTGGAAAGTGCAAGGACTCAGGTTCCATTCCCAGCACCACATGCCATGCCGCCCCAGAACCCTGGCTGTGCCATGCGGGCCACTGAAACCAGGCGTGATGCTACACGCCTGTAATCCCAGGGCTGGGAGGCTGGCACAGGAGAATCACTGTGAGTCTGAGCTACATAGTGAGACTCTGTACCAAATAAATAAACAAACAGACAAATAATTTTTTTAAAATGGAGAAAATCTCTCAAATCACATATATGATAAAAATTAAATATTCAGAATACGGAACTACATACTCCCCCCTAAAAAGCTACCTAATTAAAAAAGTGGGGAAAGGAACTGAACAGACATTTCTTCAAAAATGAAATACAAATGGCCAATAAATGTAGAAAAAGGTATTTCAATATCATTAAGCACCGGGGAAATGCAAATCAAACATAGTGAGATACCATCTCATACTCACTAAAATGGCTACTATTAAAAAAAAAAAATAGGTGCTATAGCTGGACATGGTGCCACATGCCTGTCTTTGATCACCCTGGGAGGTTGAGGCAAGTCACAAGTCCAAGCCCATCCTGTATAATTTAGCAATTTAGTGGACCCTGTCTCAAAATAAAAAATGAAATAAGGACTATGGATACAGTTTAGCGTGAAGGCCCTGGGTTCAATCCTCAGAACTATAAACAATAAATGATAGTGAAGATTTGAAGAAAAGAAATCTTTCTGCACTGTTGTTGGGAACGTAAAAAAAGAGTGGCACTTTGGTAAACAATATAATGGGTTCTCAAAAAATTAAACATAAAGTTACCAGAATATTTAGCAATTCCATGTTTTAGTATACACACAAAGAATTAAAACCAGGATCTCACATACCCTTTGTCACAGTATTGTTGGGTAAAATTCATTTCATCTGCAACAGTTGGGTACTAGGGTACAAGTATCAGAACACCTAGGATGGGTTGTGCTCTGTTGCAGCCCAGCCTGGACTGTTTTATGACTGCCTGTCTGTCTGCCTTACCCAGAAGTAAGTTTCCAACCTCTTCTTAGCTCTGAGGATGGTGAATGTCACATCATGGGCACCTATCAATCTTGTGTAAGTGGCATTGGGACGGACTATGTGGTTTTACTTTGCCTTGAAGTTGTAGAAAGAGCTGCCTCAGAGTAGTCTGGAGGGTAGTTAGATGGTATTTGTGTGCCTTCTTCCAGCCCTGTTACCTTCATTTAAAGGGGAATGGAAGGGTGAGGAGAGTTGTAGGAAAATGTCCCTTATAAAGCAAGGATAAATTCATTTTCTTCTCTCCAGTGGAAGGAGGAGTATCCGCAATTAACATTCACAAAGCACGTTAGGAGTCTGAAGCAAGAGTCAATAATGGTTCTGTGTAGAATGATAGAACCTATTTTTCTTTCCACCGTTGTCTTTGTAGAGGCCAATGTGCCTCACTAGCAGGTAATAATCCAGAAGGTTCATTTCTTATTATTGGACATATTCTCCCATGAACTTCCTACCCATCAAAACTCTTTTCTTCTTTTTCTGCAGCTGGCATAAAACACCCCAGAATTTCATGCTTTGTGTTGTGCCTCTGGGTTCCTACCCATAGCTCATTGTTGGGGAGGTGGATAATTTGGAATGTCTTTCTCCACTGTTATGGTTTATGTTTAGGTGTCCCCCCTCCTTACCCCAAAGCCTCATGTGGTATTTGTGGGGGGTTTTAAAAGTGGTTGGATTTGGAGTATGTGATGCTGGAACTGATTTCTGGTGCAGTGCTAGGATCAAGCGCACAACAGGATTGCCTTCCAAGGTCAACTAAGACTCAGGACATATGAGAACTCGTACTGTAATGTCATGTAACTCAGTAGTGTCCCAAATTTTCTCATCAAGGAGATTATGGGGCCAAAGAGGAAAGTGATCGATAATGTAGAGTGTGCCTAAGGAGAATAACATGGAGAGAAAACATTCTCAGGCTTTCACAGAGAGCACATTGGCCAAGCAATGGCCGTGACTCATCCACATGGCTGACACTGACAAAGGATCTACAATCTGAGGTACAGGATCTCAGGATAAATCCTGAGGGGATTTCACTGACCTAATCAGACCCAAAAGCTATAACTCTTGTTGCACAGGTCCTGCTTTACCTTGGTCTTAACCATCCAGCAGAAAAGTATGAAAATGAAGTTTAGGGGCCGGGGGCATGGCTCAGTGGAAAAAGCGCTTCCCTGGCAAGCGTGAGGGCCTGAGTTCAATCCCCGGTTCCACAATAAATAAATAAATAAATAAATA